GCAGATGTTTCATGACCCAGCTAGGTTATATCATCAGGGTTAGGAGGAGGAGGACTGTGGGGGGGGGGGATCCTTGATGCTCTCTGAGCTTGGTGGAGTTTTCTTGCAGGCATTTCATGACCCAGTTAGGTTATATCATCAGAGTTAGGAGGAGGAGGAGGACTGTGGGGGGATCTTAATGCTCTCTGAGCTTAGTGGTTTTCTTGCAGACGTTTCATGGCCCAGCTAGACAACATCATCAGTGCTAGAAGGGAGCAGAGGGGAGGAAGACTGTGGGGGGTCCTGGGTGCTCTCTGAGCTTGCTAGTTTCCTTCCAGGCGTTTCACGACCCATAGGAGATAACATCATCAGTGTTAGTAGGGAGTGCGGTTTGTAGAATGGAGGAGGACTGGGGTGGGGGGCGTCCTTGATCTCTCTGAGCTTGGTGGGGTTTTCTTGCAGATGTTTCATGGCCCATCTAGGCAACATTAGTGCTAGTAAAAAGGAGGACTGTGGAGTCCTGGATGCCTCTGCAGGGAGGAGGAGGAGGAAGAAACCAATTGTGTTGTATTTATTTTGTACAATGACAATAAAGACTATAATATAAGAGGAGGAGGAGGAGGAGGAGGAGGAGGAGGAGGAGGAGGAAGAGGACTGCAGGGTCCTTGATGCGCTTTAAGCTTGGCTGTTTTCTTGCAGATGTTTCATGACCCAACTAGATAACATCATCAGTGCTAGGAGGAGGAGGAGGACTGTGGGGTCCTGGGTGCTTATTGAATTCTTGACCTATGGATCTGCTTGTTTTATATTTTTGCCCAATCCATATTAATTTCTGCAAGTCCCACTTGGATGCAGTGATTAAATAGGAGCAGCGTCAGGGCTGAAATGCACCATTGTCTTTATTTACCCATCAAATTGAAATTTAGGCTGCTATAATACACACCATAAATTCTCCGAACAATTAGAAAAAAAGGATGATAATACAAAACTATCCGCTGTACTTATGTTTTGCACCTAGCTAACCGACACATGCGGTAAATGCTTAGTGAAAGCAAAACAGGGCCTCCGTTCACAGGAATAGTTGTTAACATGTCATCTTGACAAAGAGTTCTATGTAGTTCCTCGTTTTTGCCTGCAGGAAGTTCCAGATTCAATTTTCAGCCCTGCAGGTGGTTAGGAAAAAATTCTTCTCTGCGCCGCAGTCAATTAGGAACTGCCTTCCTACATTTCAAATCCCAGACTTGCCACTTATATCAAAACCCAACAAATTGGAGCACAATCGCACTTGGGTTAGCTAATGATTTCCGAGCTGAGGCAGCCAAAACTGGTTGGGTGCATTTGTGGGGTAAGGTAAAGATAAAGGTTCCCCTCGCACATNCCTATGAAGCGGTATATAAGTCTACTGCTATTGCTATTGCTATTTCAACCTCAGGAAGAAGGCAACGGCAAGGCAATTCGAAATCTTGCCAAAAAAACCGCAGAGCCATAGCTAAGCAATCTCCGATCAAGGAAAATATGTGTAGTTCAGGGTTGAAGTGAAGGGTCCTTGGCTCTCTGAGCTTCTTCTTGCAGACGTTTCTTGACCCAGGTAGGCAACATCATCAGTGCTAGGAGGAGGAAGACCCTGGGTGCTCTCTGACCTTGGTTGTTTTCTTGCAGACGTTTCATGACCCAGCTAGGTAACATCATCAGTGCTTGGAGGACGACTGTGGAGGTCCTTGGTGCTCTCTGAGCTCGCAGAGGTGATACCCACCCACGCCCCGTTTCACCCCAAGACGCCCGGCCTCCGCAGGTTTGCAATGCGGGCTGCAGGAGCCAAAAGCCGAACAGCTTGGCAAGCCCAGAAAGGCAGGCCGCAGCGAAGCCCCTGCTTTCCAAAAGGCGCGTTTGCCCTCTCTACCTAGAAGCCGCGCGGCAGGCCGAAGCCACGGCCTCGAGTAGGGCGCCAGCCCGCCTGACCTTCAATTAACTCCCGGCCGCCTTTCACGCAAGTCCCCGGCTGGGGCCTGCGCGCCCTCCGGGGCCGACTTACCCCCTCGTTGAGGCGGCAGAAAATCGCCTCCGTGGCCTGGTCGAAGCCCCGCTCGAAGATCACGGCGCCCACCACGACCGTGAGAACCAGCGTGGACGTGCGGCGGAAGACGAACCGGTACAGCTGCTGCACCAACGCCATCTTGGACGCTTGAGGCTACCGCGCAGGCGCGCTGCTGCCTTCGGTGGGGCGGGAGGGAAACAGAAGCGTCCTCTGCGCCGCGCTGAATTCTGGGCTTTGAAGTCCGGCTGCCGGCAGGCGGCGCGCTCTTCCTTAGGGACGCTGAACTACGCTTCCCAAGATGCCCCGCCGCCCGTTGGCTCTCAGGCCCGACCGCGGAGGCCTCTGGGAGGGTTGAGGTATGGATTCCTGAAACGGGCGGAGGGAGGAATGCGGAGCGCAGGGCGAGAGGGTGAGTTGGGGCTGCTGCTGCTTCGGCGACCCCCTTTGTGGGTTATCCAGGGTCCTGGGGAGAGGCAGGGCAGGTACTACAGTCCCCATCATTAATAAAGGAGAATATGAGTAGCTCAGGGTTGACTTGGTGGGCTTGTTTTGCAGACGTTTCATGACCCAACTAGGTAACACCATCAGTGCTAGGAGGGAGTGGGGTTTGCAGAAAGGAGGAGGACTGGGGAACTGGGTGCTCTCTGAGCTTGGTGGGGTTTTCTTGCAGGCGTTTCATGACCCAGCTAGGTTATATCATCAGGGTTAGGAGGAGGAGGACTGTGGGGGGGATCCTTGATGCTCTCTGAACTTGGTGGTTTTCTAGCAGATGTTTCATGACCCAGCTAGGTTATATCATCAGGGTTAGGAGGAGGAGGACTGTGGGGGGGGGGCTTGATGCTCTCTGAACTTGGTGGTTTTCTAGCAGATGTTTCATGACCCAGCTAGGTTATATCATCAGGGTTAGGAGGAGGAGGACTGTGGGGGGGATCCTTGATGCTCTCTGAACTTGGTGGTTTTCTAGCAGATGCTTCATGCCCCAG